GTAACTTTAAATTATAATTTTACATTTTAATAATCCCACAGTTTTTAACATTTAAAGTTGGCCAAATCCCGCAAAGAGTCAATTAAACGAGACTCCACTTCGGGGCCGCATTATTTGACTTTTGGAGGGAAATCTTATGTAAATTAAAGCAACTCGAACAGCTGTTTATTTAAAGAAACAGTACCTTTGCCATTCACATGTTACCGACAACCGGTGGGACACCAATATGTGAAATTTGAAAATGTGACATTTCTTAAGCCAGTGGGCAAAGGCTATAAATAAATAAATATTCTTAAACTATATTATATGAGCGCCTAAATAAAATACTTGCTCTTAAAGTGTACAACATATATTGAAAGTCCTAAGGCTTGCATATAAATCGATATAAATCGCTTTTCGGCTAATATAAGAAGTTATGAATATCTAGAAATAAGAGACAATTAGATAATCACACACAGAATATGGATCGAATTGACGCATTTGCCTATTTACTTGAATTGCTCATAGCTAAAAATCGATAAATATCGATTTTGGGTAAATATTACGAATTATCAATAATAGTAATAATATAAACTGACAAACAAACAGACAGAGGGACGGACAAGGTTATATCGAAACGGCTTTCCAATTCCTTCATGTGGCTGGATATCGATATAAATAAATTTGTGAACGAGGAGAGTTATCGATAATCTAATATTTATCGATGTTTTTGTAACAGGCAAACGTACATACGGACATGCTAAGAGCAATAAGGATGTTTATCACATCTATGATGTGATAGATATTGATATCGACAACTTAAATTAAGAGACAAGCCTAGATACACCGAAAAACAGACGCAGGTCGTGTCTCGATTGACGCGACTGCCTAATTAAATAATGTGCTTAGAGCTAGATATCGATAAAAATCGATTTCTGGGAAATAGGAGCTATCGATAACTTTGGATACAGATATCGATATTAGTCCATTTCCGGGAAGTAAAAGATATCAATAAATTTAGAGAGCAGAAGAACAGACGTACGGAGAAAGTAAGAACGATAGAGCTGTACTTGCTCGGTCTGTTGCACCTCACAAGTACATCATACCCATTGTCAGGCAGTTTCAAAGGGTGTTGATGAAAAAAAAATGAAAAGTATTGGTAGCTCATAGTTTTAACCGCATTTCGCCGAAGGCGTAACACACTCTAAACCGGAAGGGTAATTAACTCGCTTTGCCGATCACGCCTTTGCATTCAGAGCAGATGGATGGATCGCTGCGATGGATAGATAGGTAGATAGATAGATACGAAGATAGATGTAGATGCTTGGATGAATGAATGGTTGGGTTTGGTTTTGGTTTTGGTTTTGGCTTGGGTTTTGGCTTGGGTTTTGGTTTTGGCTCTGGCTTTGGTCTCGGCTTGCCTCGGCTGCTCTGTATATATTAAAAAGCTATAAGTTTCAGAGTTATTTCTTTTGGTTTAACTTCTCGCTTTTATTTTCCTTTTGTTTTTGGCGCTGTGCGAATGATTAATAATAAGCCAAACTCCATAGGCAAATGCGTTCCAAATGATGTTTGGGGCGCTGCCAGGATTGATGGGTGTATAAAGTCTTCTTTTATGCGCTCATTTACAGTCGATGTGCTTTTTAATGGCTTTATTATGATTGCAAAGTGCTTGGGTCATGTGGTTTTTGTTTTATCTCTTTCTTTTTTTTTCTCTCTCGATAGATATAAAAAATGATGAAGCTGCTTCAATTAAGTTATTTGTTACAAATTAACCAAAGTTTGTGAAATCTTGTGGATGGGCTGTAGGCCCAGAGGGAGTTTAAATATATGCATCCTAATCATCGTAATAATTCGATCAATTTTTATCTTGCCTTATCGCTTAAATACATAATATCTCTACTTATTTATTACCCTGCAAAATATTGAGAGTGTCTCCATCTCTATGTATAATACTATTTGTTTGATTGACCGACTGACTGACTGACTGATTGGTGATCAACGCTTATATTCTTATATTTCTTATCGCGGCAAAGGCCGGAATATACCCACTAGTAATTATTATGATAATTAACTTAAAAATTTACAAAATTTCCACTCACCTGTTAATGAGTAACATCAAAATTTGTACGCCCGACTTGAATTCCTGAGAATCGCAAAGAAAGGCGTTTGAATAGTTGCTGCTTATGTTTAGATTATGTTTTCAGTTGTAGACCACTGCTATTAACACCACAAAAAATGTACTGAATTTTCATCCAAATGCGCAGACCCTACTTGAATTTTTGAGAATCGAGGAGGGAGGTAGCCGTTAAGTTTATTTGGCTTTCGCAAAATTAATAATTCACATTACACTTTCAGTTAAAGGCCACTGCTAATCACATCACCAAACAAATAATAAAAATTGCACTGAAATTTTATCCAAATGCGCAGACCCTACTTGACCCTTTTGCCCGCAATAGTGGTAATTTATTTTTTACGTACCAACGGCAAGGTCGGGGTATATTCCCTCTAGTATACAATT